TCTGAGAGTCTTTGTTTTCTTCCCCAAAGAGCTACACATAGAGCACTGGTGGATACTGACGGCCTATGCCAGCTCAACTGTTCTTTAGTAGAGTGGACTTCACAGTTAGCAACATCTAGACCAACAGTTTCATAACAGCCTCACTCCAAGACCAGATTATGTTTGATTTAGTTGGTTTACAGAAATTGTCCCTTGTCACCAGAATAAGATCTTCAACTGTGCACTGCTTTGTAAAGTGCTGCTGAGAATTACTGTATGTATCTCAAATCTCTCAAAGGACTTCCTGACCTTGCAAAGCTCTGGTATTTGCATGATGGCATGGCCATTTGCTTTTGCTTTAGTCTTGCTGCCCAATTCTGCTGATGAAAGTAGGCCTACAAGATCTTTGTAGCTTTCAAAATTGCTTCTGTTCCTCAATTTCTGCATGTTGTACGAAGCATCTCTATCCAAGCCTCTTGCTAAGCAGAACAGACAATTAAATTTTGCAATTAAGTCTCATACTGCAAAAGAAACTGTCAACTAGTAAACATCTTTAAAGGAATCAAATTAATGGATGATGCATTTTATTAAATTAGCAGCCCAAATCTGCATGCCAGCAAAAGCTCCTAGCTTCTGATTACCTCCAGCAACAAAGACTCTAGTCTTATAAATAGTGGCAGTGGGCTTAGCATATGTTACCTTCTTTCCTAGATAAATATTAATTGGCCATGCAGAAGAACTAGATCTTTAGTAGGAAGAAATCTTTGCAGATCCCCTCAAATCAGTGTTGACATGCTGATTTCACATGGAAAAGACTTGATTCCTAATTTTCAGCAATTTTACTTCTTTACAGTGATTCACTGCAAAAGTTTCCAGCAAGCCTTGTGCATTAGTAGCTTGTTGCTTTAAAATGTTTTCAGATTTTTCTTAAAACACAAAATTCAGTGTTTTGCTTTTCGAAAACTTGGTAGTTGGAATCCCTTTGAAATCAATCCCGGATCTTGAAAGGAGACCCTTACAGATTCCATCCTCTAAAGCAGACAAAGATTTGAACATTCTGAAGTGGGACAAAGCTTTAAACCTGATATAGGTCCATATCTGAAAGTGGAAGATTTATCTTATGGCAGATCTGAGCACAGAATATGAGACCTTTTTTCATTTGAATCCCTACAGAGTCTAAATGCAGTGTCCTTTGCCTCCATGATGAACAGGTCCTAAAGGTTATGCCACTAACATTTAGTCCTGGTAGACAGCTGTACCTTTATGTACCTTTATGTCATACTGTCATGGCTATTCCCTACAGATTCCAATGGATCTGTATATGTTTTATAACAGATATGGGTGGGTCATAATCCACCCTTATTATAGCAGGTAGATTAAAATCCTTTCAGGTATATAACTGGAAACAGTCTGAACTGAAGGGATGATAATGGAGCCAGATCCTATGGCAGAAAAACAGGCATTTGCACTGATTTTAGTGTGAATTAGAGGCTCCAGGAGCCTCAGACACATATCACAAAAACAAGAAACCAACAGCCCTTTTCACACAAGCAGTCAATTCTTCTGCTTTGTAATGAAGCATGAGAATTACGGGCAGCACGGAAGGAGAGGATATGGGGCAGTATTGAAGCAGACTCCTGTGGAGTATCTCCTGGAACATTGTTAAAGAGCAGATGCCACATAGATGAATGAGGACAGTCACCAACTTCAACTTCTGCCTCCATGAACTGAAATGTGTAAGGATGGGTGCAGTGTCTGGAAATAAAATCCTAGAGACAGTTTAAGAGAGGACTGGAGGTGTTATTTTTTTTTTCTCTTGATCTCAGTTGCCTAGTTAGGGTAATTGAACACTCCTTGGAGGATATCTGAGTACATTTTTCAGCAACTGACCAGTATGGGTTTAGAAACTCGGTGTGTATTTGCACCTATTGAGCCCATGTGTTTCTTTTTCTGGGTCCTTAGAGTAAAAATCAGAACTAGGCCCAGGTGTTCATTACAATTAAATTTCAGTAACTCAAGCTCAGTGATTTTATTTTCATGAGTGACTTAAAAGTGATGGCATTTAAATGGCCTTAGCTGTATTTCAAAGTTAACATTGAGAAACTTCACACGTAAATTAGTGTTATTTGTCTGTTGGCAAACTCAACAAAATACCACTGTGTTTATTTACATAGTGAAGGTTATCTTTGCTAACAGGACTCAGAATTTCATTATTTAAAATATGAGTATGAATCTCATCACAAGTGCAGGAGGCTACAGATATTATTACATACAACTTACCACCTGAGTCAAGAGCAGAGGTGAGGTTTATATTGTGCACTGAGCCCCATGGGCAAATATAACAAAACCCACACAACATTACCTGTGGCCAGGACAGATCTGACACTATAATGAGGACTCTTCCTTTCTGGTACTTAGGTTTTGTTTCTATGTGTTTGTCTTCTCTAATTTATTTATAAGACATTTACGCCATACATGGGTAGTTTTTGAAGCAATAAACCAGTAATAGGCTCAGTTTTCATTGCTGTTTCTATATTTGGGTATTTTAGTACATCAAAATCTGGATATAAGAAGTATTAACAGTCTTATGCCAGCAGAAAGAAATTAATTTTATGCCTGCCTCTGCACAGAAGCCAAAAGCTTCAGGAAATAGGATCTCTTCTCATAAGCATCTTTTCAGATCCAGTTAGGAGAGGGGAAAATAAACAATGAAATGCAAGCTTCCAGGTGCCAGCACAACAGTGTGATATGATCGTTCATGCGGTAATACATATGATTTACAATATGTGTCTGACTAGCACTCCAAGACTGCAGTACTGATTGATAATCTAGGTAGAACTTGGTCCTGCTTTCATGAAGCCTTGGCCTGTGGGAGTCAAGTTGTGACAGGAGGCTATGGGCAGCCTGGCGAGCAGAGAGGAAGAGCAATTTTTTAAAACCTGAGCACCTCTTGTTCTGACACAAATCCTGGGAACCAGCATGCACAGCCTAAAGAAAGCAGCAGTTCCAGTGCCTGGGTGGGGACAAGTCTTCTGCATGTCCCTGCAGCAGTGATATGGGAGGAAGCTGGCTTTACTTTCTTGCTGCAGCTGTTCCTAGCCCAAGATTGAAGCCCTGGAGAGAAGCATGGGGAATGCTTACTGAACCTGCCCAGGAAGACCAAGTGGGAAGTCAAGTGAAGTCACCACAGAGAGAGCTGGCATGCCCTGGGTGAACATTTTGCTCACCGCTCGCAGGAGTTCTACACAAATAAGTAAGAAACTAGTGAGCATGAGAAGAAAACAAACGAGTGATGAAAAAAGCATCTTCTTGGCAAGACAAAGAGAGAAGCAATGAATGATGATTACTGCTGAATAATAATCCAGAAATAATGGAGAAGGGCAACAGCAAAAGCTGTGTACAGAACACAAACATTTTATCGTGAGGATAAACAGTGACATTAGTAGGTTGGCCAAAACTCATCACTCGTTCACATAATACTTGTCTACATTACACAACATGGCTGACAGCAGTGGCTAAAGCTAGAACATTGCCTTTGGAGACTCTATAATTTTATAAGAGCCTTTCCATAAGAGAAACGCTGTTCCAACACTGAATCAAGGGCTAGGTTTTTCTCTTGTTATTATTGGTGTTTTAAATTTAAATCACTCTCAGATACACAGCCCTATTTGGGAAGAATGTTGAGCTACAGAGGCTCGAGGGCAGTTGCCAACTTAAGCACAACTAAATTAAGCCAGAAATGTCAAGCAGAAGTGAAAGCAATATCACACTGTATTAGAAACCAGGATTATAAAATCTTTGCCTATCAAAGAGATCAGAAGAATGTAGATAGCTCTGTATTATTATTTTTAATGCAGTAAAGCCTAGAGGCTCCAATCAATTACTAGGCACCACAAGGAGGTGGTGCCTGCTTGAATACAAGGAGGCACTACAAATAAAAACATGGAAACAGACCAAACACTCTCCACAGCCCTTTTGGGAAAACAGAAAGGCTCACTGACATTTTATCTTCCTGTCGGCTCAGTGAATGTAGGCAAACCTTGACTGCCACACTTTCATTAATCCTACCTCACTCCTTGAGAAAGTCTAACTAAAGCTCTAGAACTGATTTTACAAAATCTCAAGAACTATCACTGTTTTTTTTGATCTGTGGGTGCTTAGCACATCCCAAGATCGGAGCACCTTGCCCTGTACTGAAATAGGGAGAGAAGGGGCTCTGGTTTTCTACACTACTGTGCAGCCCTGGCTCTTCTTCAGTTCAATGTTTCTCTTTCTACAGTTTCCTCACCCTCTGGGCTACAGTGGATTCTCTCCAGCCTCCTTTCGCTGCCTTTCCTTGATCTGCATCCTCTCAGGTGTGCCAGTTCCTCTTGCTCAAGGATGACCAACAGGGCACTGAGGTTTCTCACCCTGCCCATAAGCTCTGTGTCCCAAGCAGAACACTGCAGTGCCTGTCCCTGTGTGGTGCCGACCACAGCCCAGGAAGAATGGGGCCTCAGAGAAACCGTTTGCCTTTCCATGACAGAGGAAACCAGCCAGACGCAGATATCCAAGACAGAAGTGCTGAGAGTTTGCAGGGAGCTTAGGCAGGCAACAGCATATGTGAACAAACATGCCTGCAGACTAAAAAGCCTTGCCTCCACTTTACTGCCTTTGTCGTGGCATCTTTGGGAGATTTACTCTGGCTGGACCATAGACATTTCACCGAGCTTGGAATTATCCTGACCCAGCAAAAATCAAGCTCGCACTTCCCTTTGTGTGTAAAACTTTTCTGCGGCTGCGGAGAACAAACACTGGCAGGAGCTGTGGGACCTGGACAAACGTGTGCTCCCGCTGCTCCTCCTGCCCCCGCCTCCCGACCGCTGAAGAAACCTGCGGGGCACGTCAGGGCTGCTCAACCGCGGGCGTGCCTTTCCAAGCACACCATGAAAAAAAAAAAAAAGGAAAAAATATATTAAAAAAAAAATGGAGGGGAGAGGGGTAGGGGATAAGAAAGCCAGAGCCCAGAAGGCACGAGATTACTATAAGTGTAAAGCAGGCGTGTGATGCGGTGGGATGCGCACCCTTACAGCAGCGGAACTCGCCGCGCTGCGCAGCCCCTCGCCCGCCGTGCAGGGCGAGGAAACCGAGCTGCCGGCCCGCTCCGGCTGTGCCCCTGTCCTGCACCGTCTTGGTCGCCCCGGCCCCTCCCGCACGCCCAGCTCCGGCACCCAGCGACACTTGCCACCCGCCGAGGGACGCGGTGGCGGGCAGTACAGCCCCCGAGAAGCCTGGCATCGCCCAGCCCCGCGGCGTAGAGGGCACGGTGCAAGGTGGGATGGGGACAACCGCAGGACCAAGGGGGCATCCGCAACACCCAGCGCCACGCCACTCCGAGCCGGGATGGAAGAAGACGGGCTGCTCCCCTGGTGGGGCGGGGAGTGTGCCCGGGCTCCTCCCGACGCCTGCAGGGACAGGGGCGGGGGACAGTGGTGGGGCGGTGCGCGGAGCCGGGGCGGGCCGGCCCCCCCCCGGTCGGACGGCTGGTGGGTGCGGGAGGGAGGGCGGAGGGAGGCGACGGCAGCTCCTCCTCCGCGGGCAGGCGGGCAGCCCGACCGGCAGCGGCACCGGTTGCTCGGTGCCGGCGGAGCCGCGCCGCCCGCTATATAAGAGGCGGCGGCTGCTCGCTGCTCCCTCACACCCGCCCCTGTCCGCGGCTGCCGGCGCTGGGCGGAGGCCGGGCCCCGGCAGCATGGCCCGCGGCGGGGCGCAATGGGAGGTGGTCTCCCCCTCTGCCTCCCGCGGACCCTCCTCTTCCTCCTCCTCCTGCTCCTCCCGTACCCGCGGTGGCGGCTGCAAACTTGCTGCGGCGGGCTGCGTGTGAAGGCACAGCCCGGCGGGGCGGCTCCGCTGCCCTCGCAGCCCCCGCCGTCGCGCCCGCAGCCCGGGGGACGAGGCCGCCGCCCGCGGGCATGCGGCGCCGCCGCTGCGCCCGTCGAGACACGGTGTGGAGCCGCGGGCGGCGGGGCTGCGGTTAGGGCCGGCCGGGGCGGGAGCCCCATGTCTGAGGCTCGCCGAGCTCCGCGGGCAGGCGGCGGGGCGATGAGCTGGCGGGGCGAGCGGGCGCGCCTGGCCCCCGGTTTGCCCTGCTCCCTCGCTCTTGGGGAGTGAGGCTCCGCGAAGCCCGCTCGGTGCTCCCGGAAGGGCGGGCAGGCGGGCGGGAGGTGGTGCCGGCGCGGGGATGCTGCAGCCCTCCCCCGGCGCCGACGGGGTCCTGCCGGGGTAGCGGCCCCGCCGTGCCGCGCCGAATCCCGCCGTCTGCGGGGGCGGCGGCCGCGGAGGGATGGAGCCGACCGGCCCCTGCCGGGCGCAGCTGGTGTCCGCCAACGACTCTTACCAAAACTGTAGCGCCGAGGAAGTGATCTACCAAGATGCCACCCCCCTCTCCGGGAAGATCGTGCTCGCCGTCGTCCTGGCACTGCTCACCCTGGCCACGGTGCTCTCCAACGCCTTTGTCATCGCCACGGTCTACCAGACGAGGAAACTCCACACGCCGGCCAACTATCTGATCGCCTCGTTGGCCGTCACCGACCTCCTCGTTTCCATCCTCGTCATGCCTATCAGCACCGTGTACACTGTGACCGGCAAGTGGAAGCTGGGTCAGATAGTCTGCGATATCTGGCTGTCCTCGGACATCACCTGTTGCACGGCGTCCATCCTGCACCTCTGTGTCATCGCCCTGGACCGCTACTGGGCGATCACCGACGCCGTCGAGTACTCCACGAAACGAACTCCCAAGCGGGCAGCGGGCATGATCGCACTGGTATGGATCTTCTCCATCTGCATTTCCATGCCCCCTTTGTTTTGGCGGCAGGCGAAGGCTGAGGAGGTCTCTCACTGTGTGGTGAACACAGACCACGTCCTCTACACCGTATACTCCACGGTAGGAGCCTTCTACTTCCCCACTCTGCTTCTGATAGCCCTTTACGGGAGGATCTACGTGGAAGCCAGGTCGCGGATTTTGAAGCAGACGCCAAAGAAAGCAGGTAAAAGACTAACGCGGGCTCAGTTAATCACGGACTCCCCGGGGTCGACTTCTTCCGTCACGTCCATAAACTCCAAGGCTCCCGAGGGATCCAGCGAAACGGGCTCCCCCGTGTACATGAACCAGGTGAAGGTGAAGGTCTCGGATGCCCTGCTGGAGAAAAAGAAGCTGACGGCCGCTAGAGAGCGGAAAGCTACAAAGACTTTAGGGATTATTTTAGGAGCCTTTATCGTCTGTTGGCTGCCTTTTTTCATCATCAGCCTGGTATTGCCTATTTGCAAGGACGCTTGCTGGTTCCACATGGCCATCTTTGACTTTTTCACGTGGCTTGGATATCTCAACTCCCTCATCAACCCCGTCATCTATACTATGTCTAACGAAGACTTCAAACAAGCTTTTCACAAACTCATACGTTTCCGATACACAGGTTGAGATGTTGAATGCGATGTGTTCTCCGGGGCAGCCCCCATGCACGCCCGCGCCCGGCGCCACAGGTAGGTCCGCGCTCCGCCGCCTCCTCCCCGGAGAGCCTCGGTGCTCGGGACGGGAAGAGCTGGGGGGGCAGGAAGGGGGAGAGAGGGGGTGCGACCCCACAAATA